GACCAGTACGTGCTTGTATGGGCTGGATGTGGTTGTGGTGTCGCATAGCAATTCGCGGACGAGGGATCTCGGGTGGGAACAGGAGACGGTGTCGAGGATTATTATGTCGATGATGGCGATGATACTAACACAACTAGTAGCAGTAACAATGAATCTTCTACTACTACTACTACTACTACTACTACTACTACTAATAATAATAATAATAATAATAATAACAATAACAATAACAATAATAATAATAATAATAATAATAATAATAACAATAATAATAATAATAATGATAATAATAACAACAATAATAATAATAATAATAATAATAATAATAATAATAACAATAATAATAATAATGATAATAATAATAATAACAATAATAATAATAATAATAACAATAATAATAACAATAATAATAATAATAATAATAATAATAATAACAATAATAATAATAATAATAATAATAATAATAATAATATTAATAATAATAATAATAACAATAATAATAATAATAATAACAATAATAATAACAATAATAATAATAATAATAATAATAATAACAATAATAATAATAACAATAATAATAATAATAATAATAATAATAATAATAATAATAATAATAATAATAATAATAGTAACAATAATAATAATAATAATAATAATAATAATAATAATAACAATAACAATAATAATAATAATAATAATAATAATAATAATAATAATAATAATAATAATAATAATAATAATAATAATATTAACAATAATAACAGCAATAACAATAATTATAATACCACCACCTTGCGTACAGTCGTATACTGACCCTATGGGAATGACATTGCTTAGTTACGACGCACCATTCCAGTCCATCCCCACCGTATTCCCAATTCCCATTCCAAATTCAGATTCATATACGAAATGCATCTATGACGTCCGTTCTTTAATATTATAATCAGGATAACGCAGTAATTAGATGAAATGAGGAAAATACGTACATCATTCATAGCCTTGAATGGTTATGCTATAGAAAGAGAGGTTAGGTTAAGTTAGGTTTTAGGTTATGTTAGGTTAGGTTAGGTTTCAGTACCTCCGGTTTGCGTGGAAATTAGCGTTGGGGATCCCGCCAGATGACGTCACCGCGTCCATGAACCAATCACAGGACATTATACCCGCATACACGTACACTCAACCTTGGTTAATCCTACCCAATATCATTAAAAGATAAATGATACCTGCCCATTTCTTCCCTGCCCTCTTACTAGCACCACGTGTATCGGTGGGAGACGAAGAGAAATTCCCTTACCTAAAAGAATTCCTTCCACCTTATGGAATTTCCTTACCATAAAATAATTTTTCCCCAATCCGAAAAAAATTAAATAATCCCAAAACCAAAAGAAATTCCCCCAAGCAAAGAAATTTCTCCACCCCTATGACATTTCCCTGCCAAGAAATCTCCCCACTTTAGGAAATTCTTCCCATAGTACGGATTCCCTCTCCTAGTTCTAAGGTTCCATTAAAATCCGGGAGTGGCCATCCGGGAGTGGCCATCCGGGAGTGGCCATCAGGGAGTGGCCACTAAGAGCGAAATATATTATCTCCTACTACTCGAGAACGGATTCTATTCGTTCAGTCATACGTCATTTCGTTCATTCACCTGAAAATTTAATTCGTCTTCTGAAAATTTTAAACGAAAGCATCTCTTGAAACTTTATCTCTTGTCTTAAAACTTTCCCCTTGGATTTACCTCCTGAAACTTTATCTCGTCTTAAAACTTTCCCCTTGGATTTACCTCCTGAAAACTTTCACCCAATGGGACTTTTGATAAATGGATTTAGTCTGAAACTTTCAGTGACAGGTTTGAATTCTCGTGAAACTTTCAATAATAATAATAACAAAATAACTCATCTCTTGGAAACTACAGAAGATAGATGAGGTATTTAAATCGCCCTAAAAAATGTTATGGTAAGAATGTTATGGTTTGGTTAGGGTAGGTCAGTTCAGGTCAGGTCAGGTCAGGTCAGGTCAGGTCAGGTCAGGTCAAATTAGGTTAGGTTAGTCAACGAGGCCAATGTTTGTCATAGGTGAACGTTTCTCAGGGACCACAAGGCACTCAACAAATACGAGGTCAGATGTTATCCAAGTATCGACGTTTATTGATAAGAAGACTGTTTATGTGTGGATGTAACGTGACCTAACTTATCTAACAATCTATTCATCTATGTCAACAAATAGACTGTGACCTCTGTGTAATGTAATCTAAATGTCATCATGAAGTTGTGTCTGTTTGTTTCTCTGTCTCTACACACCTCTCTTGCTTTTTTGTGGAACCCGCCCCTTCACTCTCTCTCTCTCTCTCTCTCTCTCTCTTGATTTCCCTCTCTTGCCCCCCCCCTGCTCCTCTCCTGTTTTCTCTGATTTCTTCTTTGCCCCCCCGCCCTCTCCTGTTTTTGCCCCCGCTCCCTCTCTCTCTCTGTTTCTCTAGTGTACTCCGCACTGTCGACCAGCAAGACTCTTCAAACTTTCATCTCACACAAGTTTATATCTGAGTCGAGATAACTTTGTCATCTTGTGTTATCATCAGTGAAGGATAACTCAAAATAACCCCATTACTGTATCTCCTGCTATCAACCAACACCACCACTACCACCCTCAGCAACCAACATTAACCACCACCACCACCACCACCTCAGCAACCAACATCATCACCATCAACAACCACCACCACCACCACCTCCACCATCAACAACCACAACCACCACCACACCCCAAACACTTCCAACCCCCCACCCCCACCCCCCTCCCCTTCCTTATTTACACTTATACGTATGGATGTATGTATGCAAATGTCTTGTGTGGGATAACACTATAATGGCTCTCCTCTACAATGTATATGTGGGATAACACTGTCATCCCCCAATCCCTCCACCATCCTCCTCCTTAGTCAGCGACTCCTAAGGGACTAGGGACAGTTTGTAACGAGATGATGATTGATCGGCGGACAGACAGACCATGTCAACAATCACTGCAGTTCTATCGTGTTTATTTACTGATAATTTAAAGGATAATAACTTTCTGTCTCTTGATTCTTGATAATTTCCTCACTCGGGGGGGGGGGAGGGGAGGGGTGGGGGAGGGGGGTGGGGGGAGGGGGAGGTGGGGAGAAATTAGCTTGTGAAATATTCTTGGTGATAAAATACGCAGGAGAAAAGACAAGGGAGAGGGAGTAAAGGGAGGAGGAGGAGGAGAGGGAAGATGGGAGGAAAAAGACATGGGGAAAGGGAGGGAGAGGGAGAAAAAGGAAGACGAATAACACAAAGGAAAGGGAATGAGGAAAGGCCAGGAAAAGAAAGGGAAAGAGGAGAGAAAAAACGGAGAAAGGAAGAAAATGGGATAAAAATGGAATAAAGGGGAAACACAAGGAGAGGAAAAAATAACACAAAGAAAACAAAAAAAATCAACAAATCCTGAAACGTAAACATCTCCCCGCCATGTGACGTCATACAACAAAATGGGGGAGAAAGCCACTGATATCTTCTTCTTCTTCTTCTTCTTCTTCTTCTTCTTCTTCTTCTTCCTCTTCTTCCTCTTCTTTCTTCTTTCTTCCTCTTCTTCTTCTTCTTCTTTCTTCTTCCTTCTTCTTCTTCCTCTTCCTCTTTCTTCTTCTTCTTCCTTCTTCTTCTTCTTCCTCTTTCTTTCTTTCTTCCCTCTTCTTCCTCTTTCTTCTTCTTCTTCTCCATATCTATTTCACCAACATTATTTCACAAGCTAATATTTTTCCTCCCCTCAAGCGCGGAAATTATCACAGACCAACACGGAAAGTTATTATACTAAAGATAATCAGAATATAAACACGATTGACTAAATACTGAACACCTTAAACCATTCTTCAGGTCACCGTCTGTCAACCAATCACCTGCCTCGTTACAAACTACCCCTGGGCTTCAGACGCGGGGTATTGGTGGCCTTATTTATTAAAGATATAGATTATTATTGTCATTTTAATATATGTATATAATATAGCAGTATGTTTAGATTCCTTACCCCCCCCCCCAAGTATAACACTATCTTCCATCCCTACATAGACGTCAGACACACACGGGTATAGCATTTTCTTGCCTCTTGTCAGCATTTCGCAGTGCGGCGTTACATTGTCTTTGACCATTGTGGTATAAAACTGTCTTGCCTCCTGTAAGCGGTGTCTACAATAGCATTTTCTTGCCGCTACGAGTATTTCTCAATAGGGTAACAGAACATTATTACTTGTTCTTGTATAACACTGTCTTGTCCCTAACATAACGATGCTAACACTGTCTTCTCCCGCCCCCCCATAGTCTCCCACCCCAGATTCTTCCCGAACACATTATAACACCGTCTTCTCTGCCCCCCCACAGTCTCCCTACCCGAGTCTTCTCCTGAACACATTATAACACTGTCTCCCCTGCCCCCCCTAGTCTACCCACCCCAGAGTCTTCCTGAACACGTTATAACACTGTCTTCTCCCTGCCCCCCCACGTAGCTCTACCCCAGAGTCTTCCCGAACACGTTATAACACTGTCTTCCCTGCCCCCCCACAGTCTCCCCACCCCAGAGTCTTCCTGAACACGTTATAACACTGTCTTCCCTGCCCCCCCACAGTCTCCCCACCCCAGAGTCTTCCCGAACACGTTATAACACTGTCTTCCTGCCCCCCACAGTCTCCCACCCCAGAGTATTTCAACACGTTATAACACTGTCTTCTCCTGCCCCCCACAGTCTCCCCACCCCAGAGTTTTCCTGAACACGTTATAGAACTGTCTTCTCCTCCCCCCCCCACAGTCTCCCCACCCCAGAGTCTTTCTGAACACGTTATAACACTGTCTTCTCCCCTGCCCCCACAGTCTCCCCACCCCAGAGTCTTTCCTGAACACGTTATAACACTGTCTTCTCCTCCCCCCCCCCCCCCCCACATGTCCCCACCCCAGAGTCTTCCTGAACACGTTATAACACTGTCTTCTCCCTGCCCCCCACAGTCTTCCCTGACCGGATACCAGTGCTTGAGGTGTGGAGGCGAACGTGGTCACCTGGGGAGCAGCTGGCGGCCAACTGCACCTCCCTAGGGGCAGACCTTCCCCCTCCTCTCAGTGGTTCACCAACGGGGATGAGGTAGTCGAAGGCGAGACTCCTCTATTGTTCCTTCATCTATCTCACACCCCCTCCTTCTATTGTTCCTCCTCCTTCATCTATCTCTCCACACCCCCCCTTCCATTGTTCCTCCTCCTTCATCTATCTCTCACACCTCCCTCCTTCTATTGTTCCTCCTCCTTCATCTATCTCTCCACACCCCTCCTCTATTGTTCCTCCTCCTTCATCTATCTCTCACACCCTCCTTCTCTATTGTTCCTCCTTCATCTATCTCTCACACCTCCTTTCTATTGTTCCTCCTCCTTCATCTATCTCTCACACCCCCTCCTTCTATTGTTCCTCCTCCTTCATCTATCTCTCACACCCTCCTTCTATTGTTCTCCTCCTTCATCTATCTCTCACACCCCCTCCTTCTATTGTTCCTCCTCCTTCATCTATCTCTCACACCCCCTCCTTCTATTGTTCCTCCTCCTTCATCTATCTCTCACCACCCTCCTTCATTGTCCTCCTCCTTCATCTATCTCTCACCCTCCTTCTATTGTTCCTCCTTCATCTCACACCCTCCTTCCTCCATCCATTCTCTCACACCCTCCTTTCTATTGTTCCTCCTCCCTTCATCTATCTCTCACACCCCTCCTTCTATTGTTCCTCCTCCTTCATCTATCTCTCACCCCCTCCTTCTATTGTTCCTTCATCTATCTCACACCCTCCTTCTATTGTTCCTTCATCTATCTCTCACACCCCCTCCTTCTATTGTTCCTCCTCCTTCATCTATTCTCACACCCCCTCCTTTCTATTGTTCCTCCTCCTTCATCTATCTCTCACACCCTCCTTCTATTGTTCCTCCTTCATCTATCTCTCTCACCCCTCCTTCTATTGTTCCTCCTCCTTCATCTATCTCACACCTCCTTCTATTGTTCTCCTCCTTCATCTATCTCACACCCTCCTTCTCTTATCCTCCTCCCTCACTCCTTCAACTCCTACTTCAGCGTCAATTTTTCATCCTCCTTCCAATCACAGGTTCGAAAGAGTCCTACAAGCCCCGTCGTCACCCTGCAAAAGTCCTTCAGGATCTGTTGTTTTTTTTTTAGTTATTTTTTTTGTAATCAATTTTAAGTCAAGTTCCTTTATTTTGTATTGATTAATCTTAGACTTTTGTTGTCCTTACCTCCTCCTTTATCATTGGTTCTTTCTTTCTTCCTTTCTTCTCCTCCTCTGTCCTTTTCTTACCCCACCCCATCCCTCTCTCTCTCTCTCTCACTCTCTCTCTCTTCTCCCCCCCTCTCTCTCTCTCTCTCTTTTTCTCTTAATAGTTTACAGCTCTACACACACAGCCTCAGAATAAACCGACACTGATACTTTCCTCTCCTTCCTTCCCTTCCTCTCTCTTCCTCTTCCTTTCCTCTCTCTTCCTCTTCCTTTCCCTCTCTCTTCCTTTCCTTTCCCTCTCTCTTCCTCTTCCTTTCCCTCTCTCTTCCTTCCTTTCCTCTCTCTTCCTTTCCTTTCTTTCTTCCTTTCCCTCTCTCTTCCTCTTCCTTTCCCTCTCTCTTCCTCTTCCTCTCTTCCCTGTACTTCATTTATTAATTACACCTTTATCCCATTTGTTCACTCTACGATTTTTTTTACATTAATTGTAGTTTTTTTAATTTATCTTCGATTTTCCCTACTAACCTAACCTAGCAAACCCTAACTAATAAACCCTAACCTAAGCCCTAACCTAACCTAACCAAACCCTCTGGACACCTCTTAATATTTAACTGCCTCATATCAACACTAATAACACTTCCCCTTTACAATTTATTCATCTTTTAACACTTAATACGATCCAATTATCTTCATTTCTTCCCTCCCCCTTTTATCGTCGATTTCTCATCTTCCCTCTTTCGTTTCATGGGTTAATAAGCGTTATTTTCACTTGTGTCTCTTTCTCAGTTTATTTGGTCTAGTTTCCTTCTTCTTCTTCTTCTTAATGATTGTGTTGTCTTTATTTCCTTCTTTATTGTCGATTTCTCGTTCTTCCCCTCTTCTCCCTTCTCTCCTCACCTTTTCTCCCTCAAAACAACATCTCTCCTCCTTCTCTCCCTCACACCTCCTCCTCTCCCTCACAGATCACCAACATGAACTGCAGTCACCAGGTCCCAGAGGATAATATCAACACACCCTTACAGATCACCTACACACACCTTACACAGATCACCTACACACCCTTACAGATCACCTACACCTCACAGATCACCTACACACCCTTACAGATCACCTACACCTCACAGATCACCTACACCCTCACAGATCACCTGCACACCTCACACATCACCTACACACCCTCACAGATCACCTACACACCTCACAGATCACCTACACATCCTTACAGATCACCTACACACCTCACAATCACCTACACCTCACAGATCACCTACACACACCTCTGAATCACCTACACCTCACAGATCACCTGCACACCTCACAGATCACCTACACACCCTCACACATCACCTACACACCCTACAGATCCACCTACACCTCCTGAGATCACCCACACATCCTTACAGATCACCTACACACCTCACAGATCACCTACACACCTCACAGATCACCTACACACCTCACAGATCACCTACACCTCTCAATCCCACCTACACACCTCACAGATCACCTACACACCTCTGAATCACCTACACACCCTCACAGATCACCTACACACCTCACAGATCACCTACACACCCTTACAGATCACCTACACATCTACAGGTTACCAGGTACAAGTATACACATCCCTCATGAAATTCTCCCCTCTTCCCTCTGTTGGAATTTAAATGACCAATTTTCTTTACAATTTTCCTAACTTTATCCCTCTCCATCCTCCTCCCTCACTTCATCAACGATTTCCTCCTTCACCATTCCATCCCCCTCTCACTCACTCCATAGACGATTTCCATCTCCCTCCCACCCCCACTCACTCCATAGACGATTTCCCTCTCCCCACCTCACTCACTTCATCAACAATAACCCCCCCCCCTCTCCCTCTCTCTCCTATAGGTATCCAAACGCTACACCCGGATGTCCCAAAAGGACACCACCAACATGGGTCAGGTGTCCACGAGGTCAGGCTTCGTCTGCCGCTGGGTGAGAGCCACTTCAAGGAGGGCCAGGTACGGCTCACCTGCTCAGCGTCCTTCCGTAACTTCTACAACCAGAGCTCTGACATCATGCTCAATCGACTGGGTTTCAAGACGGTCGCCCCATCCCAGAAGCTCTATGGGACAGGTAGGTGTGGGTAGGTGTGGGTAGGTGGTGTGGGTAGGTGTGGGTGGGTGGTGTGGGTAGGTGTGGGTGGGTGGTGTGGGTAGGTGTGTGTGTGTGTGTCCATTCAACGGCAAATCAGAGGAGATAAGCACATACGAAAAATTGTCTGTCTGTCTGTTTATCTGTCTGTCTGTCTGTCTGTCTATTGTTCAAGTACGTAGGCTCTGTCAGGATCCCGAACCTATATATATATATACCATTGAGTAAACAACAACAAACAAAAACAACAACAACAACAAAAGTAGTTCTCATTAATGTATGCTCTCTCTCTCTCTCTCTCTCTCTCTCTCTCTCTCTCTCCGACATACAGACACAGACATATTAAAAGACAAAAATAAAGACGAGACAGAATCATTCACAATAAAATAGACAGGAACAGACAGACAGACAGACAGACAGACAAAGTTGTGCCATTAGAAAACTCTGAATAATAACATAAATATACAAGTTTTAATAAGACAAAAAGATAAATAAAGACAAGAGTCGAAATGTTGTTAATTAAGGTTGTGATTTATAAAGACAAACTGAGACTTGGAGACGTTTTGTGATGAAGAAAGTAACGCACGAGAAATAATAATAATGATAATAATGATGAAAATAATAATAATAATAATAATAATAATAATAATAATAATAATAATAATAATAATAATAATAAGCGAGGTTAGATCAGGTCTGGTTCAAGTCAGATCAGATCAAATTACGTTAGCTTAGATAAGGTCAAACAAGATTAACTTAGGTCAGGCTAGGTCAAAGGTTACTACACCACAAACAACAACAACTAAAGCACCAAAAAAAGAAAAAAAACAGGTCGCAGGTCACATCAGGTCATACCGTCACTCACAACAGCTCGACCAGTAACATCCAGGACAATAAATCGCAGGTCAAACGAGGTCACAGGTCACCACAGTTGTAGGAGGTCATGAAAAACTACCCTTAAGCCTGTAAGGGGGGAGGGGACGGCCATCTCTTAAATCACATTGTTTTTTTAACCGTAATTTTTTTTCCTGAAGTGAGGTAGGGGAGAAGGGGAGGGTAGAGGGGAGGGGAGGAGGAGGGGAGGAGGGAAGGAGAAGAGAGATAGAAGGGCTGGTAGGAGGAAGGAGGGTAGGAGGAGAGGTAGAGGAGAAGTAGGAAGATGGGTAATGGATAGAGGTAGAGAGGAGAAGAGAGAGAAGGGAAGAGATGGAGCGGAAAGAGGAAAAGGTAGGAGAAAGAACAGGAAGGGGAAGGAGGAGAGAGACGGAGGATGGAGAGGAAGAGAGAAAAGAGCAGCAGAAGGATGAGAATTTATGGGAAATGATAAGGAAGGGGGAGGAGGGGAGAGGAGGAAGAGGAGGAAGGAAGGAGGAGAGGTTGTTTTACATATAAGAGAGTCGAGTCTTAACTATTTTCTTCCCACCTTTTGATAATCTTATATATATATATATAGATGTTACGTCACCCCACCTCCTCACCCCCCACCCCTCCCCCTCCAGTTCCCAGTGCATTAAAATGTTCCTCTTGATATATTATTTTTTGTTATGTTTTTTGGGTTAATGTTTAATATATGTAAATTGCCGTCGATTGAATCATTGTTTGATATCATATTTTATTACTTTTTTTTGTTCAAATCATTAAATGTTTTATGATATAGTGTGTTGACAAGAGGAGAGTGTGTGTGTGTGTGTGGGGGGTGTCTCTCTCTCTCTCTCTCTCTCTCTCTCTCTGGACCACAAGCAAGAGAGCATCCCAGGTGAAATTCCGGATCTGTGTTGTATGTTGCGTTGCGTTGTGTTGTGTTGTATTGTTCCGGTGTGTAGCAGTAGTAAGTCAGTGTGTGTGTGTCGCTGTCTGCTGGTGTATGTCTGTGTGTTCTCGCTGCTTGTATGTGTGTAGAGAGAGAGAGAGTCATTCTCTCTCTCGTCTGTAAAACAAAAACATTGTCTTTCACACACACACACACACGCACACACACACACACACACACACACACACACACACACACACACACACACACATACACACACACACACACACACGAGAGAAAAAGCACAAAGAAAGTTCCCATGACGACTTCTACAAGAGCAACGATTTAAGTCAAACTTTCTCCCGGGGAAATTCTTTTGTGATATGAGCGAGAGGGAAACAGTACGTCTGTCTGTCTGTCTGTCCTGATGCTGTTTCCCCTCACGGCTAAACTTGTGATATTTGAAGCTAAATAATATATAAAAAACTGTCTTACTGTAAAACTAAACCTGTGTTATTAAAAGAAGCTAAATAATCGTTTTAAGAGATAATGAGGTTAGGTCACTAGGAGAGAAAGTTTTATCCCCACAAAATTAGAAAGTTCATGTACTCGACGGGGAAAGCCAAGAGTCTGATCTACTTAACTCAATCATTAGAAAGGTTTGATCTCGACGTCATGGAAAGCTAAACTAGTTATCTTATTAGCTGGAGAAAGTTTATCCAAATGAGTGATTAGAAAGTGGACTTAGGCGACAGAGAAAGCCAACTTGTCGTGTCATTGGGAGAGAAAGTTGTTGTACCCCCCCGCCCCCCCTCTACCCCCGCCCCCCGCTACGGTGAATCTCTCTCTCTCGGGGTAATTCAGTTTTGATGTTGACAAAAGAGAAAGTGAAACTTGTATTATTAGGAAGAGAAATTTGGCCCTCAACCAGAGATAGTGTGTGTGTGTGTGTGTGTGTATGTGTGTAAAAAATGTCTGTGGATGTATGTTATGTGTACATATACCCTTGTGTGTTCCCGTATACGTACACATGCTTCCCTGTGAGTAACATACAAGGTGCAGTTAAGTCCTTAATACCTTCATAGTCACTCCACTCGTGTGTGTGTGTGTGTGGCGACCTGTGGTGTAATGCTCAGCATGCTCGCCTCGCAAGCGGGCAGACCCGGGTTCGATCCCAGGCAGGGTGAAACTATGGTCAAGTTTCTTTACGCCATTTGCCTCTGTCTACCCAGCAGTAATTGGGAACCTGGATGTTAATCGATTTGCGGATCGTATTCCGAGGTAATGGTTAGCCACTGCAGTTGGCGAGTTGTCCGGTCTTCTCGGACTATTCCTTTACACTGGGTCATGCAGCTCGTTAACTCAGGGTGTGGTTGTTGTGTTGGCGACAGCTTCTCCACCTTAAACAAATCCACGCCTGGGTGGCCCTAGGGCCGGCCATCCTCGTTACACGAGGGGCAACCATTATTATTATTATTTAATATGTGTGTGTGTGTGTATTTGTGTGTGTGTGTATGTGTGTGTGTGTGTGTGTGTGGACACTAACACAGGTAAACACTATCGTCGCGGGAATCAACGAGAATATCCCTGGTGTGACGGTCATGAAACTGGATATTTGGGTACACGTCGCGCTCTATTTGACTGTCTGTGTGTGTGTGTGTGTGTGTGTGTGTGTGTGTGTGTGTGTGTGTGTGTTGTGTGTGTGTGTGTGTGTGTGTGTGTGTGTGTGCTCGCTCGTTTCTTTGTCTCTCTTTCTTTCATCACTCTCTCTCTCTCTCTCTCTCTCTCAGCAGGAGAGGTCCTCTTAACCGAACTGGTGGTGTAGGTTGACATGTCTAAGCCACGAGGGAGCTTGACTGTGTGTCTGTGTGCTAATTCTCTAAGGGCTCTGTGTGTGTGTTTGTGTGTGCCTGTGTACATCCACCCACCCTTATACAATGCCTGTGTGTGTTTGTGTGCAATTGCTTTTACACACACACACACACACACACACACACACACACACACACACACACACACACCGCAACCTCTGGACGCCTTCTTCAGTAGTTGAGAAATTACAGACAGGTTTTATTGGGGTGTCAGTGATCAAGCGGATGAACTCTCAGGTCAGGTCAGGTCAGGTCAGGTCAGGTTAGGTTAAGTCTTATCAAAGGCCACCGAGGCCATTAAGTCAGGGAACCATTTAAATTTTGACTGTTCTCTTTTTTTACAATCAAACCAAACAACAAATATTTCATCTAAAACCACAATTAGATTTACACATTATGGGTAAATTATTCTATCTATATATTTATTTATTAGAGATAATTTTTATTTATTTTATTTACAAAGAAGAAAATATATCATGGTCTCTTATTCAACCCCCCTCCCCCTCCCCCCTTGTTGGCCACGCTGTACAGTAGAGACTCCCCCATCTGCCTCACTGACCTGGACTGTAGTTTAGATATGTACTGTAGATGATGTATTTACTGTATAGAGGAGCCCTTTGATCACTTCTTTAACAGGTTGAGTCCCCCCTAGTAACAAATAGTAAAGTGAAATGAGGAGTGGTGGGTAAATATCCTGGTCTTGATGTCTGTAATGGTCGAAGTAGTTCTTGTTGTCGTCACGCTGGCTAAGGTAACAGCGCTCTTGTTTCTTTCAGTTTTATCTTCTACAGTATGACTTTAGTGTTAATTAAATTCTACAAGTTCTACTGCTACTACGACTACAAAATACTACTACTACTACAACTATTAACTACTACTACGACTACTACTACTAATAATAATAATCATAATTACAACAACGAGTAATGAAGACCTCTGATCATTAAACCAAGACCCAGAGGACTGAACAAAGACCCCAGAGAGGATATAAGAACACACTGTACACTAAGCCTTCAGTACACAGGGAGACAGCGTGGCCAACACACACACCGCCTCCACCACCTTTCATTTTCCCTAAGTCAAGTTAGGTACCCCATTTACAACTGGGAATGCCCGGGATCGAACCACAGACCCTTGGGACAGCAGCAGGCGAGCGTTATATATCCACTCGACCTCCGCACCCCTTATTGAACTATAAACCCAAGATTATTGAACAGAGACTCCCAGGGTTATGGAACGAAAACTCCCGGGGATTATTGAAGAAAAGACCCGAAGGTTATTGATAACTTACTGATTAAATAAATTATAAACATCACTGAACCTTTCTACTGATTACTGACCACTGCCCCCCCCCCCAAGAATACCTAAAATAGGACCACAAATCATTAAAAATAGTGACCGGCATCAAAACAATAGCCCTAAAGTGTGCTATAGTGAAGACGTCATCTTGAGAAGCGATCAACAAAGGGTAAACAACAATAACGAGAGTCTCCAGCTGTGGTCCGCCTCAGGTCACAGCCAGCAGGAGACTGTTGCACCCACCCTCACCCAAATCAATAGTGGTGATGATATACACACCCGGTGATGACTCCAGATAAACTTGTTGGGAGTGACGCTAAACCTTTACAGTGTGGAGTGTGTGTGGACAAGGGTGGGAATGTAACGACAGATAGACACACAATTGGAGTCACAAACAACATAAAACAAACGTACGATGATTGGATAAACCTCACTACCACATGACCAATTGACCTGGGAAAATAAGCCATGATAGCCATTCAGTCAAAATACATATTGTGGCGAAGCGGAGTGATGGTGGAGGAGGACCTGAGTGGGCAATAGCTACGTGTACTCAAGAGTCCTTTTATATAAATACAATCTGGTCAAGACCTTCGTGTGTGTGTGTGTGTGTGGTCGAGGTCAATGGCTGTTGTAAAGGGTTTATTATTATTGTGCTCTTTGGTTCTCAACAGCAGTCGAGGGATTATCTAAAAGGAGTCCCACAGCAGGATAAGTCGTCGGGATATTGTCCATGTTCTTGTTTCTTCTATCCATGACGACTCCTGACATTGTTTTTACTTGTCGTTGTCTTCTCACTCACAGGAGACTCATCACCCGAAACATCTGACAGGAGGAGGAGGAGGAGTTTGACAAGAGATGTGATTTAATTTATAACCTTCAGTTTGGCGGCTGTATTGAACACGACCAAATTTTTCCCTAAACGATGTCGGTTCAAGAAGATCTCTGAGTTAGAGAGGGAGGGACAATGCACATGTTCAAAACCTCAAGTAAAGGGATACAAAAGACATCAAGTTTAAGTTTACGTCTTAGGGTGATCATGTGATAATCTCTTTGTGCTGCTCCGTGTGTGTGTGTGTGTGTGTGTGTGTGTGTGTCCAGAGCCCCTTGAAGGTTACTCTGCTGGTGGAAAATGAAACTTGATCCCATAAGCTGATACAAAACACTAAAAGATTAAACAAATTTTTTTTTTTGCTTCGGTACACAGGTGAGGCAGCGTGACCGGCACTGTACTCGACCACCTCCATATCCCAAACTGTAAAGTAAAATACCGATTCATAGTTAGGTGACCTGGGAGAGCTCTGGGGGCACGATCCAGGGACATTTAGAATAGGAGGCGAGTGATAGTAAAGATGGATAGTAAAAGTGGTTTGTGGTGGATGGGGGATAGTCCAATACAGAGAGGAATAGATAGATAGATAGATAAGAGGAAGAGGAGAATACCGAGGAAGGGGGGATGGAAAGGAGGGATGGGAGAGATGGAGGGAGAGATAGAGGGAGGGAGGGAAGCAATGAGGGAGAGAGAAACGATTTAACAGGTAGACAATTCTCTCTTAACAGCCAAAGGAGGAGAAGGAGGAGGAGGATAGTGAAGGAGGGATAGACAATGTAACAGATACAGAAGGGCTAGATATCACCTCTCACACACACCATTAGTCACGGCTGGATAGTTCGTTAGAGGTGGGAGGTATAATGGATAGACTAAGAGCCTTCCTAAATGACTGATCGACCGACGAGAGAGAGAGAGAGAGAGAGAGAGAGAGAGAGACATCACGTACAGTCAGATACAGACAGTAGAATGGAAGGATAGAGAAAGAGACAGAGAGACAGAGAGACAGACATACAAGGTACTCAACAAACTCCATCATTGGGCCGCCTAACTGAGATCCACAGAGGCGAGCAATGGGGGGGGGGGGGCTGCCTTTGATCCCGACTACCTACCCCACCCACAACAATTGTCCGGCACAACACAAGACCAATTCGTTGGTGTATATAGAGAAAAAAGGAGAAAGAAAAAACAACAACAACTTTCCCAGGACCAATATTCTCAATATAGTTCTCCTCTTACTCCTCCTCTATTATCCCTTCCTCTTCTTCTTCTTTCTTCTCCTCTTCCTCTTCGTTGATTCCTCCCCTCATTTTCTTTTTTTCTCTCCTCTTCCTCTTCTCCTCTCCTCTTCTTTTTACTCTTCTCTTCCCTCTCCCCCACCTTTCTCTGCCTCTTCTCCCCTCCTCCTCTTCCTCCTCTTCTTCCTCTTCTCTCTCCCCTCCCAACCTGCTCTTCCTCTTCCCCCTCTTTCATAAACAGAGGAATAGAGAGAGAGAGAGAGAGAGAATGGATTTTAATCTCAATATACAAACGTCAGATTTCACTCAATTTTATAATCAAATTTACGTACAGATGGAGAGTTAAAAAGGCCAATTCCTTGCTGTGAAAATATTGTCCCTGAGTCGCTTCCCCCCCCCCCTCCCCCTTCCACCCCCGGCCTCCCTATCACGGTACTCTCTCCAATACAACATTTAGACAGAGGTGAGGGGGAGGGGGGGGGTCAGTACATGAAGGGAGGTGAAAAAAATCATTCAGGTCAATTATTTCCCATAGTCCCCCCTTCCCCCCGCCCCTTCCTTCCTCCCCTTCCAGTCTATAAATAACAAACACTCCTTCCTTCCCTTCCTCCCCTCCCTCCCTCCCCTCCCCTTTCCTCTCCCCACAGCCAATAAACAACCACCACCACCACCACCACATAATGTCTGTATGTCACGGTATAGACAAGAGAATACAACACCTGATCCTGATACATACAGATATATAATACAACATAATATACATCCCCCCACAATAATACCCAACCTCCTTACCTCTAGACACAATAACATCAACCATGGTGTTCAATTCTCTAAATATACAGAATCGACGTATTTATTTTTATGGGAAAAAATGGAAAATATAACTTCCTACAATTCTCATCATCTATCTCAACTTAAAATAAATAAATAAATAAATAACTAAACATATAAATAAAATTAACACCCCCCCCAATAATACCCATAGCCAAAGTACTTATTTAATTCCTTGCTGTAAAAAAAAAATAAATAAATAAAAAAATATATAAAAAAGAAGATCTGTGAGCGTGTGGATATTAACCCCAGCCAGACCATATCTAGCACACAGGACAAACAAACAACAGGGCACTTATTGTACGATGACAAGGTCCCCCCCCCCTCCCCGCAGACGGACGGACGGACGAACACACACAGAAGGCGAGTAATCATCTCCCGTCACTCGTGTCTTATCTCACAGTGACAGGTCAAGAGGCCCCGGTCATAACAAACTCCATTATTACTGTGTTCCGTTCACCTTTGATCATGGTTAACCATTAGGTCTGTTTCCCAATCCTAAGAGACCCCAACTGGGCCCTACCCTAACCTAACCTAACCTAACCTAACCTAACCTAACCTTAACCTTAACTTAACCTAACCTAACCTAACCAAACCTAACCTAACCTAACCTAACCTAACCTTAACCTAACCTAACCTAACCTAACCTAACCTAACCTAACCTAACCTAACCTAACCTAACCTAACCCCAACTGAGCAGCAAGATTGGTTCCCCCATTACTAAACGCCCTCTCCCCCTCTTATTAAACCCTAGCTTTAATTACTAGGTTAGACTGTGGCCCAGTAATGTTAAGGGCCCTTAGGAGTGGGTAGGTTGGGGCCCAGTGGGGTTCACGTGACCTATAACCTCTCTCACGCCTCTGTTTGCCTCAGCTGTCATCTTGTGAGTAAGAGAAACGTGTGACTATATTGTACACTGTGTCTTATGAGTAATTATGCTCATAAATGTAATTAATTATATCTTACTATACTTTTCTACCTCATGACACACTTATGAGTAACTATACACTTGTGAGTGACTTAAGTATTTACCTGTTAAGACTTTATTTATAAGTGTACAGGTGTATATACAGTACACACACTTTAAGTAACAGCGGTCATAAGTATCCATGCACTTAAGGTGACGATGCCTATGTTAATAATAAACTACAGACTTAATGAAAGACGGTACATTTATAAGTGCCTCTGTACTCAGGATTGACTATAAGTGTAGGTAATTTTCTACAAGTTAACAAAGTGACTAGGTGTCTTAGAAGCGGTTATCGGTCGGTATGAAAAGTTAGTGACTGCAAACTAATGAGGCTTCTCTCTGTTTCTTTACTTTCATCCGCTGTTTGTCTCTTTCTCGTTACCCCCACCTCTCTCTCTCTCTCTCTCTCTTCAACAAGAAAAGAAATAATCATCAAAAATCACCATTCCCGGATTCCCAGTATTCATGCTTCACTTCCACCCTGCAGGGAATCTTCGACGCGTGATTCCCAGGTGACAAAAATTCCCACGGAAATATCACCTACGAGAGACTAAAAATCACAGCAATGACTAGAACCGAAAGGCAGGCAAGCAGGGAGGCAGGGAGGCAGAGAGGCAGGGAGGCAGGGAGGCAGAGAGGCAGAGAGGCAGAGAGGCAGAGAGGCAGGGAGGCAGAGAGGCAGGGAAATAACACACAATAAAAGTTAAAATAATAGTGAACAAAAAAAATATCCGGATCACTCTTTGGCGAACGAAGAGGAACGGATCTCAGAGGTGACATTGGATTTATTTATTTATTTATTATTTTTATTTCTCGTAAATGAAATATTGAAAACGTTTGATTGTCTGTATCGAGTTTCAGGGATCACTGATGAGAGACACGAGTGAACTGAATTAAAATGTTATCGTTTGGGGAAAAGAATGACTGAGTGTCCTTGGCTAGAGAGATGACAAACAAACGTCAAAGAAAAGAAATATATATTATATTGACAAAATACTCAGTTAAAGAGATCCCCACCCCCCCACCCCACCCCACCCCACCCTATTTTCTTTCTGATGATTGACCTTTCCTCTGTATATTCGCTAGGAAATGTCATATTCTTTGATCCGCCTCATTAACCTCTGACCTCTTAACTCTTCAGGTTCGACGATGGAGGTCAACGTGGTGATGCTGGTCCTGGCATTCATGGTGACCGCCTCCCTGCTGGTGATGTAGTGGTGACCGCGTTGTGCACGAGCGTTCAAGCGCGCCAGAGACCGGCGTTCAGTGCCGCCTGAACACGACGTCCAAGACCATCAAGACGACGCGTTCAGTGGCATTCGAGGCGAGTGTTTAGTGCCACCTGAACACGGCGCTCAGTGGCACAACCTAAAGACGTTCACTCCCAGCAGGACCAACCAACCCGACCCAGCGTTCAGTGACATCACCCCAGGAACACCAGTGGCACCAGAAGTTCAGTGGCACTATGAACAAGCGTTTACTGGAATTGTTCCTGGGAGTTCGTTGGCACCAGTAACGGGCGTTCAGTGGCACCAAGAACAAACGTTCACTGGCAGCACACCAGGACGATCAGTGTCACCAATAAGACCCAGCGATCAGTGGCATCAAGAGCAGGCGTTCAGTGGCACCTTAAACCAGCGTTCAGAATTACTACAACCTGGAGTACAGTGGCACCTTAGTGGCGTCACTCCGGGGAGTTCAGTGCACGGTGTTCAGTGTCCCTATGGTGAACAATACAGTGGCATCACCCCAGGGCGTTCACTGGTGCTCCCAGATATCAGTGTTCAATACCATAAGGTCACGTAGTTCAGATTGACCTGTTCTCAACGTTCACCCAACACTCAGTTCAATGGGATACACAGAGTTCAACGACTGCAGTGAAACACCAGTGATAATCTCAGCTTCCAGTGACACTTGCGTTCAGTGTTAAACAGAACCCAGAGCTCAGTGTAACCATGACGCATCGTTCACAGTGTTGCGTTTAGTACCGAATAACAACCAGCAGCAATCAGTGTGGTACAGAGTTCACCAATACCCCCAGAGTAACACTGAAACCTAGAACCGGGCGTGTAACAGTGTTCATTACACGCAGCGTTCAGCAACATTGAAAGGAGGTTCTAGCGTTCAGATCAACACTCAAGGCTCAGGTGGGATTGAGCGTCCCCTTAAAAAAATAAATAATAATAAATAAAACTTCTAGTCGACGTTCAGTGGCGTGCTAAATCAATGTGTAGTGTAGTTATACTCTGATAAACTCTCTGCCCTTCATGGCTGGGGAAAAAAAACACTCCTAAAACAACACAGGTGAAGGATGTGTGTTTTATTATTCATGGAGTGCATCAATTAAAACACAAACTCACACACACACACACACACACACACACACACACACACACACAGACACACACACACACACTAAATAAATCAGTGTTGAAACGAATGACTGAACAATAACTTCCTTTCAACATTTATAAACACATATGGAAAAAATGAAAACTACAATAAACAGCTTTTAGGAAAGTTTTAAAAAATGAAAGAAAGAAAAAAAAATGAAGGCGGTGGAATAAACTGTTTTTTACTCCTGTGTATAAATTAAATGAAAATAAATTATAAAAGATAGAAATAAACTTTTTTTAATACATAACAAAAGAAAACAAAAGAAGAATCCAACATAGAAAAAAGAGACTAAACTAATATTCTTAACTGAGTATAAAGTGAAAGAAAAAATAACAATAGCGGAAATAATAATAATAATTTGTCTTATAAAACTGTGGAAACCGAATGAAAAATATAGACAAATCAGGAAAAAAATTGGAACCAGTGTATAAATTAAAACAAACAAACAAAATTCCATACTGTATAAACTTGAATAAACTAAACAAACGATGGAATAAACAGTTGTTACTAATGTGTATATATATAAACTGAGAAAGAAAAATATTAAACCTCCCCCCCAAAAAAAACGACAAACTAAACTGTTTTTACCAACTCCACAAACGCTGAAAAACGAACATTAAAAAAAAAACACGTAGAAAAACATGAAAATTTATACACTAAACTGTTTTATGGAAATGTGTAAAAGAAAACGAACAAAAACTGATGTATGTAAAAGACAAAAGAAATTGTAAAAGATTGACTAAAGTTCACATCTATAAAAAACAAAAAACAATATACGAATAATTTACAGTGAGCAAAAAAAAAACTATTGTTAATGTGACTATAGAAACACTAACAAACAAACACAAGTGAGAGAGAAAAAAATCTGTTTTTTTTAACTATAAACAAGAAAAAACAAACATAAAAAAACAATTATTTTTTAATGAGGTAAACAGAAAAAAATGTAAATATTCCGTGTGTTTGTTTTTGTCTGCAACTGTAAAAAAAAAATCTATACTGTTTTTTTTTTTGGTTTTGTTTATAAAGTGAAGAAAAAAAATCGAGTGAAAAGACAAAAACATATTTGTAGTGTTAGTTGTGTTGCCAAGCTGTTGTTGCTTTAAACCATATGAAGGCTTCCATGATACGACAAAGAAAAACAATGTTGTATATTACGGGATATTATAGGGTATTAAGCTGTTAAGGTCATAGGATTAAGTGCTTTAAGGTCAAATGGGCCCCAGTCCTAACAAGCCCCCCCCCCCACCCTTTAAAGGTCTAATGAGACCCCTATTTCTCCCCTAACTTAATCAACTGTAACTTATAGGTCCAAATCTTAATAGGCCCCACAGTGCTAATGGACCCTACGTTATATGGGTCCCAATTAAACATAGCCTAAATCTTAACGGGCCCCAACCTAACCCAACGTAACCTACAGAAGTCAGTCCAAATGGGCCCCAAATCTATCAGGACCTAACTTAACCTAACCTAACTTAACCTAACCTAACCTAACCTAACCTAACCTAACCCAACGTAACCTACAGAAGTCAGTCCAAATGGGCCCCAAATCTAACAGGACCTAACCTAACCTAACTTAACCTAACCTAAACAAACCCATTAGGAATAACACGTTACTAGATCTGGGGCCTACGAGAACTGGGGCCTACAAGAACTGGGGCCTACAAGAACTGGAGCCTACGAGAACTGGAGCCTACGAGAACTGGGGCCCACAAAAGACTAGGGCTGGGGTCCATCTGGCCAGTCACCGAATTAAGGTTAGAAAAAAAAATAAAACAGTACATTTCGTTTGAATAAGAACATACGATTTATTTACATAATGAAGAATTCACAAGAATAGGAGAGAAACACCGATAAAGGAGAATAATGAATAAAATAATAATAGGAAGAACACAGAAGAGGATATAGATAGGAGATAAAATAACGAATGGATAGAAAGAAAAACACAAAACACAAGTGAAGAATAAAAAAATAAATATATTTCAATAACAGAAAAGACGAAAAAGATAAAATAACTTAAAATTACTTACCATAGATAACAATATAGATCAATTTACTTCATTAAGAGGAAAAACAAACAGAAAATAAAATTGAAGAAAAAAATATCATAGACTAAAGAATCAGAAAGATTAAGATTATATGAAACAAAACAAAATAAAAACGGGATTTATTTTACCGGACTGATTCAATTCACATTTTGGAAACACACACGATGTTTTATTTATTTTTTATTGTTGTTTTTTGTTAAGTTTTCCTAGGGGGTGATAGCCAAGTTAGCTTTTATTTTTGAGAATGGAGAAAGAGTAGAGAAATAAATACTGAAATAGAGAGAAAGAAAGAAAGAAAGAGAGTGAGAGAGAGAGAAAGTGAGAGAGAGATAAATTAGGGAGATATATTAAAGGAAATATTATCAGAAAGAGTAATAATGAGAAATGATAAAAGATAAAGTAAAGATATATAAGAATGTACGAGAGAGAGAGAGAGAGAGAGAGAGAGAGAGAGAGAGAGAGAGAGAGAGATTAGCTCACCCATTAATTATCAGATATATCCTTAATGAGAATAGATTCCTTTTCTTTCCCCATTAAACAATGAGATACGCCCTACAGTTCCTGGTCGACGCCGGTCCATAACCTGGTCGATAAAGGCCTTAAACTGGTCGACGCTGGCCCCCTACCCTGGTCGAGACTGGCCCCCTACCCTGGTCGACGCTGGCCCCTACCCTGGTCGACGCTGGCCCCCCTACCTGGTCGATATTAGCCCCTACCTTGGTCGATGCTGCTCCCTAACCTGGTCGATACTACCCTCACCTTGGTCGACGCTGGCCCCTACCCTGGTCGATATTAGCCCCCACCTGGTCGATGCTGCCCCCTAACCTGGTCGATACTAGCCCCTACCCTGGTCGATATTAGCCCCCACCTTGGTCGATGCTGCCCCCTAACCTGGTCGATGCTGGCCCCTACCCTGGTCGATGCTGCCCCCTAACCTGGTCGATGCTGGCCCTACCCTGGTCGATGCTGCTCCCCTAACCTGGTCGATGCTGGCCCCTACCCTGGTCGATATTAGCCCCTACCTTGGTCGATGCTGCCCCCTAACCTGGTCGATACTAGCCTCTACCCTGGTCGACGCTGGCCCCCACCCTGGTCGATGCTGCCCCCAACCCGGTCGATACTAGCCCCTACCCCTGGTCGATATTAGCCCCTACCTTGGTCGATGCTGCTCCCCTAACCTGGTCGATACCTCCTGGTCGATACTAGCCTGGTCGACGCTGGCCCCCACCTGGTCGGTAACCTGGTCGATACTAGCTGGCCCCCCTACCCTGGTCGATACTGCCCCTACCCTGGTCGACCCCCCCTACCTGGTCGATACTAGCCCCCTACCTTGGTCGATGCTGGCTACCTGGTCGACGCTGCTCCCCTAACCTGGTCGAGACTGGCCCCTACCCTGGTCGATGCTGCTCCCCTAACCTGGTCGAGACTAGCCCCCTACCCTGGTCGAGACTGGCCCCTACCCCTGGTCGACGCTGGCCCCTACCTGGTCGAGACTGGCCCCCCCACCCTGGTCGACGCTGGCCCCCTATTTACCCTGGTCGATACTAGCCCCCTACCTGGTCGATGCTGCTCCTGGTAACCTGGTCGACGCTGATACCCTGGTCACTAGCCCCTACCCGAGACTGGCCCCGGTCGACGCTGGCCCTACTACCCTGGTCGATACTAGCCCCTACCTTGGTCGATGCTGGCCCCCCTACCTGGTCGACGCTGCTCCCCTAACCTGGTCAGAGACTGGTCCCCTCCCTGGTCGATGCTGCTCCCTAACCTGGTCGAGACTAGCCCCCTACCCTGGTCGAGACTGGCCCCTACCCTGGTCGACGCTGGCCCCCTACCCTGGTCGAGACTGGCCCCCCACCCTGGTCGACGCTGGCCCCTACCCTGGTCGACGCTGGCCCCATACCCTGGTCGATACCAGCCCCCTACCTTGGTCGATGCTGCTCCTTAACCTGGTCGAGACTGGCCCCCCCACCCTGGTCGACGCTGGCCCCATACCCTGGTCGATGCTGGCCCCATACCCTGGTCGATGCTAGCCTCTTACTTGGTCGATCTGAACACTTTCAACACGATTGCATAAATATACGAGTATAGAGTTATCTTTCTTTATCTCTGACTCTCTTTACAAATAAAGTAAAGTTCTCTCTCTCTCTCTCTCTTTTCTTAATCAGGTTAAGAATTTATCCCTACTTCTGTTTTCTCTCTGACTAAAAACAGTAAGCTATCTCTATCTCTCACTCAATTAAGTCTCGCTCTCTCTCTCTTTCTCACTTTTTTTATCCTCCCTTTCTTTCTGAATAAATCAAAGAATCTATCTCCATCTCTTTCTAGAACTAAAGCAAGAAATCGTGGGACAAAGAGAGAGAGAGACAGAGCAAGACAGAGAAAGAGAGAGAGACAGAGAGAGACAGACAGACAGACAGACAGACAGACAGAAATCGAAACAGTGAGAAAGCGAGACAAAGAGAAAGCACACACGACAAAGACAGAGAGAAAGAGATAAAGAGAGAGAGAAAGCGAGACACACAGAGAGAGAGAGAGATAAAGACAGTCTCTTATCTGAAAGCAAAATCTTGGGGGGAGACACTCGACTCGTG